CCAGTAGAGATGAAATCAGAATGTCCAGGGTGGTCACACTGGTTCACGTCTGTAATCCCAGAGAACTTTAAAAAGCTGAGGTGGGTCTATGGCCATGCCACACTAAATGTTCCGGATCTTGTCTGATCTCGGAAGCTAAGCAGGATCAGGCTTATTTACTTGGATGGGAGACTGCCTGGGAATTCTGGGTGCTATAGGCTTAAAAAAAAAAAAAAAAGTCTGAGGTGGGAGAATTGCTTGAGGCCAGGAGTTTAAGACTAGTCTGGGCAACACAGTGAGACCCCATCTCTTGAAAAGAAAAAAAAATTGTGCATGGTGGTGCACAAACTCTTCAGCCCAGGAGTTCAAACCTGCATCACAAAATGAGACCTTGTCTCTAAAAACAGTCTACGAATAGATAAATCACAAAAATATTCAATTTGTTTACCTTGATCCAAACTCCATGCTAATAATCCTGATCCCTTTAGACTCTGGTGCAGAATGAACAATATATAAAACAAAATGAAAATAGAACAGTTCTCCAAATCTGCAGTCCCCAAACCTGGGCTGTGGACTAGTACCAGTCCATGGTCTGGTGCAGAAAAGCAGGAAGAGCAGTGGTCAAGTGAGTGAAGCTTCATCTGTATTTATAGCCCTTCTCCATTCCTTATATCACCACCTCTGCCTCCTGTCAGATAGGCAAAGACACTAGATTTTTTTTTTTTTTTTGAGACACAGTCTCACTCACAGTAGAGTGCTGTGGTATCACAGCTCATAGCAATCTCAAACACTTGGGCTCAAGTGAGTTTCTTGTCTCAGCCTCCCAAGTAGCTGGGACTACAGGTGCCTGCCACAACACCCAGCTATTTTTAGAGGCAGGGTATCGCTCTGGTTCAGGTAATCCACAAGCCTCAAGACATTAGATTTTCATAGGAGTAGAAACTCTACTGTAAATGCATATGTGACGGATCCAGGCTGTGCACTCCTTATGACAATCTAATGCCTGATGGTCTGAGTGGAGATGTAATGTGCTTGAATCATCCCCAAACCATCCTTTCCTCTACCCTGTCTGGGGAAGAACCGTCTTCCATGAAACTAGTCCCTGGTGCCAAAAAAGGTTGAGATTGCTGCTCTAAATCACATATTTCCCTGAAAAAGTTCTTGTCTCAGTGCTATAACCATGTTCACCATTACTTTTCAATTTTTTTCAGAAGACCCTAAAGTTATAAATTTTCTCATTAGCAGCTTGTGATTACTGTGAAAATGACTGAGATTTATAAGCACTACAAAATGAAAATCTCTCCACAAATAAGCAGCATGTAAAGATATTTCAGCAACACCTTTCAGCAATGCATTTTAAGTGTATCATTATACATGATGAAAGATTAAATGCATTTTCAACATTCAGAATTATGGAAACAACAGTAAAGAAATGCTGTTGAAAAAAATAATTACTCAATTCTTTCACCTAGTACAGAAATTCCCTCTTAATAACAGCAGTATTTGGTCACTTTCATGAATGAGATCTTATTAGTTTACAAAACAGCCTATGGCATTGCTGGGGATTAATAACTGGTGTTCATATAATTTCTACATTAATCTTGTATTGATTTTTATCTGTTCTGTTCATCCCCTAGATCTGCTACACATATGGCACAAAATAATTAATGAATGAAATCTACCTTTTAGCAACTCTCTGTAACTTCCACCTAGCTCCCTACGTCTTGAAAATGTATTTCCCTTATCTACTGATTGCCTTTCAAACACTGAAGACAATTTTTGCATTCCTTTCTCTTGTTCAGGGCATACAAATCTAATCATTTTTTCCTCAACATGGTTTTTAGTGTTTCAAGTTTCCCCCCAATATTAGCAATGGGAAAAAATACTTTTTATACAATCTGCATAGTACATGGGGGAGGTAGGCTACTAACACTCAGCAACATGTTTATTGTGTGTCCACTGAGTTGTAGTGTCCCTGCTAGTGATGTTTTCTTTTTTTGAGACAGAGCCTCAAGCTGTTCCCCTGGGTAGAGTGCCGTAGCATCACAGCTCACAGCAACCTCCAACCCCTGGGCTCAGGCGAGTCTCCTGCCTCAGCCTCCCAAGTAGCTGGGACCACAGGTGCCCGCCACAATGTCCAGCTATTTTTTTTTTTTTTTGGTTACAGCTGTCATTGTTGTTTGGTGGGCCTGGGCTGGATTCGAACCCACCACTTTAGGTGTATGTGGCTGGCGCCTTAGCCGCTTGAGCCACAGGCGCCCAGCCCCGGGGTTGTTTTCTTATCCTCACAATTTATCACTGAGAAAGTAGAGCCAGAGACATAAAACAACTTGCCCAGTTCAGACAGCTAGCAGATGGTAGACCCACAATCTATCTTACTTTAGACTAGGATACTGTCTTCCCTCAATGCAGACACTACTTTGTTTCTGTAAATGGAATATTATATCCTAGAACCACTTTTGTTAAGCCCGTCTTCCTCATCTCAAGCACTTACAACTGAGTTTTTGTAAATTTAATCACCCCTAGTAAATTTATATTTTGTCAGTTGTGGCTTACTATTTTAGCATTTAAGAACTTTTTTTCCTTTTTTTTTCATTAAATTATAGCCGTGTCCATTAATGCAATCATGGGGTACAATGTGTTGGTTTTATACACAATTTGAAATGTCTTCACTAAACTGGTTAACGTAATCTTCACAGCACTTTCTTAGCTATTGTGTTAAGACATTTATATTCTACACCTAGTAAATTTCACATGTACCCTTGTGAGATGCACCATAGGTGTGGTCCCACCAATTACTCTCCCTCCACCCATTCTCCCCCCTCCCTCCCCTTCCTCTCTCCTTTCCCTTTCTTCTTGGGGTATAATTGGGTTATAGCATTTAAGAACTTTTCAAGTGTTATGTAACATGCTGACTAATTATCACTATACAGTTTGAGTGCATTTATTAATTTGAGAAGATGCTTCTTACATATTTGGTAACTAAAAAAATACTAACTAGAGTAACAGCAAGACCAGAGCCCCTCATCTCTCTCCAGCTAACATCATTCCATTACTCAACATTTTGGGTTTGGTAATTTGATGCCTATAAACCCATCCAACTATACCTTAGCCAATGTATTTTTATCTTTTGTGACCATTGGGATAGAAAGGGAGATTATGTTGAGTGTCTTAAGGAAAACTAAATGGACCTTAGGGCCAACAAGCCTCCATTCACTATTGATCCAGTAAACTTATAACAACAAGTATGATTTGTAACCCTGGATTTTTCTTATTGAAGTTCTGCAGGTTTAAGGGTATCAGTTGTCTTCTTCCAGTACTTACAAGTTCTTTTTGCTCTCCTAACAAAATTGTAAAATAGATTATTAACAGATTCTAACATTCCAGAGCCACCCAGTTCTTTGTTAAGAAAACTGAGACATTTACCAGACTCTAATCTTCTACTATTAAATGTACTTTCAGGATTCCTCAAAACCTATGAGCAATGAGTTTTCAATCTTACTCTGCTCTATAATTTGAGCTTTAAAATATGTTAGATTGAACCCAATTGGATAATATTTACAATCTCCTCAATTACCTTGTATTTTATTCTTTTTGGTTTTGTTTATCCTTATGTATTTTAGAAAAAATAAGCAGAAAACATTTTCCTCCCTTTTAGACACTCAGCCAATGCTATGCTTTCAAAAACAATCTCCTGAATTGAACTAGCTCATTTTATAGAACAAAACTAATACTATTTTTTTCTTTATCACATTCAGTTTTAGAAATAGCGCTTAAAATTTAAGAACCTCATTAACGAGAATGCTTATTGTTGATGCAAACTACATTTTCAAAATGGAACAAACGTTAAACGTGATTTGAACAAGAATCAACTAATATGCTTGGCTAACTCATCATAATGTAATAAAAAAGAGACAAAAGGGGGAAACTCTAAAATTAGACGCCAATGGTAGTCACTCTGAAAAGAACAGAACAATCCTTGATTATTATATTCATAGCTAAGATTACTTAATAGATATGCATCCTAAGGATATTAACCATTGTAATCAAAATGTCTATCAGTACTACTATCACTGCCGTTCATTTTTCCATTCAGCAATATAAACAGCTTACTAAAAACATCAGGTAGTTTCTAGGTGCTGGAGACTGAAAACTCCGCACTTTCACTCTAATAACAACATCACTAACGCAAACCTTTAATGGATACCCACAATTGTAAGGCATTGTACTATATAGCTGTGAAGAAGGATTTAGATCGCCATACACAAACACTATCAAGTTTGCCATAAAAACACAAAAGACCACTCTTAAGAAACTTTCTTTTAAGTTATTCCTAACATAAGATGACTTAGGGGAAGCTCCGTTTAACTGGCAATCCAAATTTAGGGAGTGTTACCGAGCATATTTCGTGCAGATAATAGTTAAGAGCATTTAAGTAACCTCTAGATCTAGACTTACGTCCTGACTTTCTAAACAATTCTTCTCGTAAGAAACCAAATCAACCACCCAACAGAGGGTCGGTAAAGACAAAATCTTGGCAAGAACCAATCTAATCGCGGAAGTGGCTTTTCCGCATTCCTAGTCCTACCCTTGTTAACGTGCCTCTTCAAAGTCCGAGTACACCAGATATGGAACAATCTCCAAAATCTCAGGCCTAAGGCTGGGAACATGTGGTAGTCTGTGGCTGTGAGGATGGGCGCGTGACTGCAAGACTCCTACCTTTTCCGCACCTGCTATAAAGTCCCCGAACTCTAACCACTCCCTCGCCAGCAAGAGCCACAACCAGTTCTAGGATCCGCCTGGCCTCGCTGTCCCGCTCCTGATCCTCAGACCCTCTTTCCAAGCCCACCTCACAACACAGCGTTGCCTGCTAACTTCAATGTGCACTGGGGGATAATGGATGAATACGAATCCGGGAAGAGCGACTGTGCCAGAGGATAGAGGAAGCTGACCATACCCCACTCCAACTTGCAGGTACGCGGGAGGTAGGCGGCGCTGCCCATACTGGGTCGGTCACTCACCCTCGCCTCAGGCAAGCCCCTTAGCAACGTCTCTCCTTCCCGACGGCGGCCATCTTGAATGGGGAATGTCGGGGGACTACGTCATCACGCTGCGCCTCAGACAAAAAACTAGCTACTGGAGGGGGCGGTAAGAGTAGGACACCTGTTAGCCAATCAGAAGAAAGTAAAGCTCTCGAAAGCAGAACGAGCCGCTTATTTCCTCCCCGCCCACCCTGCGGGTCAGTGTCTACTGCGTGCAAGAGGCGGAGCTAGCCCAAGGCCCGACCCATCTATCCCGCCCCTCAGGGCGAAAGGGAATTCTGGAGCAACCGAACATGCTAACGGAACTTGGACGTGAGGGCGGGGCCCGGAGCACATGCCGTCCAGTCAGAGCTCGGGCGTGGGAGAAATCCCACCAATCGTTGCCACGGGGCTGGCGGCAGCTGAACCGGTGGCTCTCGCTCCGGGAAGCAGTCAGCCCACTGGCTGGGGAGGACCCCGCGCGGAACCGTGGCGGGGCGGCGGGGCGGGGCCGCGCCCATGCGTCTGAAGCGCAGGCCAATGAGCGGCGGCGGCGGAGGCTCGGGGGCGGGGTCCAGGGGGGCGGGCGGAGCCGGGTTGGACTGCCGCGGCAGGGCCGTCTCAGGCCGCCGTCCCGCCCCTCCCGTCCGGCAGCCGTCGCCGCTGCTGCTGCAGCCGCCGCCTGGGGGTTGGTTGAGGTGGACGGTGGTGTCCGGGCTGGAGTGTGTCGCTCCCGCTGCGTGAAGGGGAAGCGGGCAGGTGAGTACCGGCAGCAGCTTGTCCGCGAGCGCGGGGCTCGCGGGCTGCTGAGGAAACTCGTGCCGCCGCCCCCTAGCGCTGTGAGGCCGCCCCCTTCCCGGCCGGCGACCCTCGGCCGAAGTCCGGCCCGCGCCTCGGCTGGCCACTCCCGGCCCGGGTCTCCTCGGGGCGGTTGTACGCCCGGGGGAGGGCACGGTGGGATCGGGGGACGCTTTCTGCTTCTGCCCTGACGGCCCTGCCGGGAGGGGAGCTCTGACGCGCCCCTGCCCCGTCCCCACCTGGCGCCGACATTCTCTCCCCGGGCCTCCTGGGGGCTGAAGGGTGGCAGGTGCAGGGAGCGTCCTCCCCGTGCTCGCCCCTCGTTGTGCGGGGCCCCTAGCGTCTTCTGTCGGGTGGGGCCCTGGCCCCTCTCGCGCGCCCTCGTCGGCTCGGTTGTGCGTGCGGCCGGGTCGCGCCCTCATTTCCTTCCTCCCGTCAGTCCACTGGCTGGGGGAGGGCTGGGTGGTTTTTATGTTCCACTCCAAACCTTAGGTGACCCACCTGGGTACCTGGGCATTAGTCCCTGCTTCTCTCTCGTCACCGTCCAGTTATAAAGACAGTCGTAGGAAATAGGTCATCTTTCTTCCCACGCGCCCCTGGCCGTATTCCACACGCGCAGTGCCCTACTAGGGAGAAGAATTTAGTGCTTTAGAGTTAGTCATTCCGGTTTTAAACTCTTCCTTTTCGTGGCCCCAGACTGGCGATGCAACTCTGCCTTTCCTTGTTTCCACTGGGAAAGGAGCTGATCAGTGACGTGCTCCACTTGCTGTGGGGGGCCTCACCCTCTGCGATTTTGGTGTTGGTGTTGGGAGGAGGACATGTAAGTGTCGTAGGAGAGGTATTGGTGTGTTAGAATCACTGTGAACATATTTTGCTTTTCTAAATGAAAGAGGTGACGATGTTTCAGAAGCACAAAGTATGTTGGCAGATTAATTTTGCTTTTAAGAACCTTCGAAGAGTTAACCTTTTAACGACGGATCTGTTCATAGCTTAATTATGGTGGCTGTTACACTAGTTTATGCGTTTGTCAAAACTCCACCAGGAAACTGAAAAATGTGAATTTTATCCTGTCCCTATGGCGATTTTCTTCTCAAAAATGTACCTTACCGGTACTTCGAAACTCAACTAACCAGTACTAGTTTGGAGAGGTGTTTATTATTTTAGGAGAATGCATTTAAGAATACAGCAAAATAAAAGCAGCTTTCCTCTCCACGGTTAACATGTGCCAAGACTTGCTTAACCACACTGTACTGTGTTTATACGGGATACTATGCGTGGAGTCCTGCAGTACCAAATTAGTCCCAGGGGCTGTTGTGATTGATATTTTGGTAAAGTTCCAACAGTTTACAGACAAATTTTTCTCTGGCCCAAGAAAGTAGTTTGCAAAGCCAAGTTCTCAGTTATGGAACACTCCCTTTCTCGGTACCCTAAACGATCTTGGTTTTTAGCCTCTGCTACCCCTTCTCTGCCCTCCTTTCTGTGTGTTCGGGGTTGTAAGTTAGTATCTCAAATGGAACTTTAGTCTGAGTTTTAAAATGGTTGCTGCGCTTCCCATCTCCAGTATGCTAACAGCTCAGTACTTTTTTTCCTGAAACAGGAATGATGCTAGACTTGAACATTAAAACATTGATGCCCAGATATGTACTGTAGAAGTGAAAGTTTCTATTCAAACCCCGTGCATAAGAGTGCAATGAGAGACTGTTAGTAAGAAAGTGATGCTATTGAGTTTCTCTTTCATGCTCTGGACATTTAGGCCACATTTTAAACGATGATTAAACTTTTGCTTTGGAAGCCACTGGATGATGAGAAAAATGTGAAAGTTGTACTCACATGTTTCTGTTCTAAAGTTCAATCACTAAAAATCTGTTTCTGTTTGGAGAACTCTGATAAATGGCCACAATTAGCCTCCTTAAAAACATGGTGCTCTCCCAACTAAAAGCAGTAGGGGAAAGTATCAACATTAGAATGGTAGAGGCGGGCTTATAAATAGCAAATAGATAATCATTGAATTCAGTGAAAACCCAAGTACATAATGAGTGCTGTGTGGAATTTTAGTAGAAATATGAGTAAAAATACTACCTTCTGTAGACAGTTACTCAGTGATTTTGACTAGATGCTAGTTTAGTTTGAGTCTTTTCATATCTCTTAAATGTTTGAATCACATAGCCTTTTATACTTACCACTAATCTGAAGTAGCTTTTAGAAATGTAACCTTTTGTGTGTACTTTGATGAATATTTTTTGCTGGGAGGTTATCTTTAGAAATTGATTTGCTTGTTCACTTGCTGTTGTGTGTGATGCATCTGTTGGAGGTAAGGAGGAAGAGTTTCAAGTGTGTTTTCTTCCATTGGACCAAAGTCTTGGGAATGGAGTGATGATTTTGTTCCCCCAAAGAGAAGAATCATTGTTATTAAGGCATAATCAGTAAAAAATATTTTGATTTGCTGTGCATCTTTTCTCTCTTGCTATAGTCAGAGAAGTGTTTATGTGGGCTAGCAGGTCATCCTGGGTCATATTTAACTAGTTAAGAGAATTAGACTAAGGATTCCTTGATTTTAAAATTTTCTACAGTTTTTCGCTTGCTTGAATTTACAGGTATTCCTTACTTGGCAAAATGGATTTTTGTACATTGGATTTTCTTTTATCTCGTTTTCTTATTCATAAAATTAGAAATGTTAAACATTTTGATAATGCAGATAGAGTTAATTTACATAATATTTGCTCAACATAAAATACATTTCTAACAAAATATTAATAGATAATATATTCTGTTATAAAGAAATTGCAACTTGGTGTTTTTAAAAGTTATTTAATAGTCGTATGGAAAAATAAACTTTATTAGCAGAATCTGCAAGAGTAGAAGTCCTGTTATTGTTGCATTCACCCAATAATTCAAGCTGGAGATTTGCTATGTCAGCCCCATTTCCATTTGAGTCTTCTCTAGATTTTGGAAATAAACAGATCATAAAATGAGGTAAAGACAAATATTGAGGATTTTGACTGAGATAAGTTTGAGTAGAAGAAAAATATTTCCAATAAATTATAAAATTCAAATACAAAAGTTAAGATTTAAAAATTTTTTTTTCTTATTTCAAGTACTTTCCAAGTGGAATGAACTAATAATTAAGATAAATCCAAACCCTGTTGGCTGATTATCTCTGAAGTTAAGATTTTGAAATGGATCTGCTAATTACCAAGCTGAAGTGAATTTTTAACCTTTTATAAGACTAGCCTCAGTAATGGGGTGAGAAGATTTCGGAGGGCAGAGGGACAGAGCAGAAAGAAATGTTTCCACTGTGTTTTAGAAGGGCAAAAAATTGACTAGAGAATGTAATCTAGTGTCTACATAGAACTTAAAAAATTTTTTTTGATTGACAAAACTTAAATAATACACAGAACTCTTAATATATATGCAGTATTTTAAGTTTATTGCTATCTATGATCTCAACTTTCCCTTCGCATTTTTAAAGAATAGAATTCATTAGAACATAACAGATCTAACAAATTATTCCCAGCATATGGTTTAGAAGTTTCAGTTTCAGAAAATAGGCATGGCTCTTACAATGTTAGCAGTTTTCTATTAAGCACAGTTAAGAGAAAGTAAATATTAGTGTTGAAAATACTCATTAAAGTTGTTTTTACCATAAAATATTTGCTAGTGACTAATAAAGCTTTTAATTTGTTGATTGTAATAATTTAGCTTTGATACATGTCATGGTCATCTACCTGGTTTCTGCATTTTTGACCCACAAGAGTGTGGCATTGCAGAGCTTCCTGTGGGTTGTGCCAGACTGGACAGAAGCTCTTTTGGAAGTTTTGCTCATATCCCAAATTTAACCTAAGGTCACTCCTGTGTGTTTAGACAAAGCTAGCAAAATAGCTCTATACTTTTAAAAGTCTGAAGAGATAAAAAAAACCTTTACATGTGAATGTTTTTTCTACTGTGAGAGAATGCTGCTATTTTGAATGTTGGAGCTTTTGTAAGTAAGTTGGCTTTGAGCTGAATTCATGAAATATTATTGAGTATTAGTAAAGTTTGTCATTGAGGTGTGCTGGTGAGGCTCTGCCACAAAACAAGCCTATTATCTTTTATAAATTAACCTAAGTGCCAGCTTTATCTCTGTAAAGGGGACACAATAATATCTATCTTATCTATTATGTAAAATGCTTATCTCAGTTCTTGATATATAGTAAATGGCCAAATGATGTGATTGTGATGGGGATGATCATTTTGGGGAACTGCCACAGGACACTCTACTTGT